TCTTCCAATTCAGCAGCCCCTTGAAATTGGCAGGCATGTGTATTACTTACAAAGTTATCTACCTTCCTGTAGCATCAAAAAGGAACATCCACATTTTTTCCTAAGAATAAAAGTTTCTATAATCATGAAAGCACAAAATTTACCTGCCACCATTTTTATGACTTTGATTAATTAATTAATTAGCTAATGTTATTTTGCATTTTACATCTAAAATGAAGGCCCTGAGAAGAAGGTATATATGCTTCCTGTGCAATTCTTGTAGAGACCAAGCACTAAACAGGGATTGAAGCAAACATTTAAATAAATCTATGTTCTTCACAAATTTCCCTCTATAAATTATCTGAAATGCACTATTGTAGATACAAGGCATAAGGTTTAGGTATAAAGATGACCAAAATGAAAATATATACTATTAAATAGGTATGCTTTATTATTTTTTTTCTTCTTTCTTTCTTTCTGTCTTTCTGTCTTTCTGTCTTTCTGTCTTTCTCTTTTCTTCTGGTATTGGGAACTGAACTCAGGGCTCTGTGCTTTCCAGGCAGGCATAACACCACTGAGCTACATTCCCAGCCCTTGCTTTATTTTTCTACTTCTTGGTATCATACTCATTTTTTCAAGTTGAAAGTAGGAAATGATATTCAGTAATTTGTCTAAAGTACATCCATACATAAACTAAGTAGAAGTTGGATATGGTGGTACTCATCTGTAATCCCAACTACTACTTAGGAGGCTGAGGCAAGAGGATTGCAAATTCAAGGCCAACCTGGGTAATTTAGCAAGATCTTCTTCAAAATTAAATTTGCAGATGGAATGGGCATGAACTCAGTGGCTGAGCTATTACCGCTTGCAGGAGGCCCTGCACTTCAATTCCCTGTACTGTAAAAAAAAAAAAAAAAAAATACCAAAAAAAAAAAAAAAAAAAAAAAAAAAAAAAAAAATCAAACCAAATAACTAAGTGGAAAATTCAGAATAAAACCCAGTCCTCTTAGTCATTATGATACAAATGAGATCTTGAGATAGACCCTTAAACTATAGTTTTGGCCGGCCTATCCATGCCAATACTTAAGTGCTAGTGAAGGAAGAGAGAAGAAGGGAGAGAGTAGCAGTAAAACAACACCTTCCACTGAATGAAGGGCCAGGAAAGTAGAGGACAGGACAGCTCACTCAGTTAAACAAGTTTGTGCTCTTCTTGTTTCATTTTATTTCCCTGAGAGGACAACCAGTGGGAAATTGAAGGACAGTCAGTAGTGCAGGGAGGCTGCTGCTGTGTGGACGCGCTTCAACTCTCACTCTTTGTCACTCACTTTAACAGCTCTAAGTTAGGTTTTATTTGGGGTCTGGACTCATGGACATACATTGGCATATAAGGATTGAAGACAAGAGGTGGAAACGGCCTGAAGTTAGCAGTGTAGCCTTATAGCCACAGTCATCGCCATTAGCCGGTTTGAGGATGGTGATTTCTGTGGGAACATGAGCCCATGACCTGATCATTTTAAAAGTCACTCCGTTAGTGACTTCAGTAGCCAACTCAGATGACAATGTGGAGCACTCCTACTTCACCCACTACCCCCAGACAAGACAAGTACTGAATTCCAGCCAAGGACAACGACTCTTATATTTTCTCATTCTCTTGTTATTCCTTTCTTGTCTTTTGCTCAAAGATTGCTTTTTGAAAGTTTTCACTGAAATTCCTCACTGGGCCTTTCCTTGGGCACAAGGTGGAAGAGGAGAAATGACAGAAGGGGGTGCTTGTTATGTCTCATTTAGCTGAGCAAGTGGAAGGGGGAGAGGGCAAAGCTAGAATGAGGTAAGGTGGAGAAAGGCGATGCATGCTTCTGAAACTAGACAGTAATCACTTCCCTGGGAAGGGAGGCCCTGGGTTCTGCGGATCCATAGGCTCATGAAGAGATAAGCATTTTTTCATACTGAGGTCGCGCTCAACAGCCTTCTTCTCCCCTATCACATGTTTCTCCAATCCCTGGGGGTAATCTCTCATTTCTAAGTAAGCTTGTCATAGTTTTCTATACAAACTCTCATGTGCCCTTCTCTGCTTAGGGTATTGTAGTCTCAGTGATGACCTTCCTTGTAAACTGGGGAATAAAAACCTAACAGCATGATCAAGAAAGATCTCCTTTACCTCAGAATAAGCACATAGATCTGAAGGGTATTTATTTTTTAAAGGGTATTTATTTTTCAAAGGAAAGTGTGTCACCTTGCATTCTGAGTTTGCTTTGTGCTTGTTTCTCTGCTGATAAGAATTCTCTCTTGACTCAACCCTTTGTCAACCCTGGATGCATTTTCTGTCCTGAGCATGCTGTATGCTCTAAGTCCATGGAGCTGCAGGATCAAATGTCCCTGTAAACAACTGGAGAGTATTGTGATTTGTAATATACCTGCTGTGATGCAAGGATTCTAAGGGATAACGAAACCCAGAGAACAGGGAATGGATGGATTGAGTGGGCTTTGAAAAGAAGATAGAGTAGAACAATAATAGACTATGAACTTGCTTAAAGCAAGATTTGTGCTTTAAAAAATGTAGTTGGCACTAACAATTGGACATGTATTTCTTAATACAACTGATATGATTTAAGATTAATAGAAAGATCATTCTTATACATGAATTTCTTTTCTTATTATACTTGTATTTGTCAAATAGAACCCACCCAAAGCTCTCTCACCACCCTTGGTACTCAATGAAACAAAAACAAGCAATGTGGCATTTCTCAAAAGATGTGCTTATCACACAGTGAGAAGGTCCACCAGTCTCAATCTATATAACAGAAGTACATTTAAAGACTTTTTCCCCTTTATATTTTATCTTTAAAATATTCGCAAATTCATTCCACTTCATTGGCTCTACCTGCTAGCGATATTCCATCTTCACATTTGGATGAGTCTGAACTTATCAAGGTGATATATGTGTGATATTTAAATGGGAATTTTAATATGGTATTCTTCAAACTCAGCACCAATTAGCAGCGCCTCCTGCCTCCTTTAGCAAGGGACAGAATTTGCTGCATACCCAACTGCATGTTCCTGCTGGGCTTCCCAGTCTGTGTGAGACAGTAGCAGTCCCATCCTGCATATCACGTGCAGCCCAGGGCTAGGAAGACAATACAGATGTCCTTGCTCTGAGATTTTTCCCAACACTTCATACCCTCCACACTTCAAGATGACCCTAGAATTATGGCAAATCAAGTTAAGACTGGAAAAATCTCTAGCCTCTTTCCTTATTTTCTTTTCTGCACAGAAATGAAATAATGCACTTTAAGTAACAAAGAAGCCTTAAAAAGCAAGACAAAACAAAAAATAGCATTTTACCTTAAAAGCTACTATCCCCCAGGATACTATTTTCATATTAAATAAAAATACAGAGAGTAAAGAATACTTAAAATCTTCCACATGTTGGAAATAACATCTATGAAAATGAATGCATACAACACTCCATACCCAGAATGTAAATCTTGACCACAGAAAGATGAAGATTAACGTTGCATGGGCCAGGTAATTTCGAATAAGGGCACTATAATATCAGGGTAGCTTTCAGAAGACAGAATTTTATTTTTTCCTTACAAATGTGTTTCAGTTCTATTTTCTGACTTTTAGCATTAGAAAGCTAGCAATATGAGGGCCGGGATTTAGCTCAGTGGTTCCACCGCCTGCCTAGCAAGAGCAAGGACCCAAGTTCTAACCCCGGTACCAAAAACAAACAACAACAAAAACCTAGCAATATGATTGTTTTGCTTCAAGTACAGTCAATACATTTGTTTAAAAGATTATGAAAATATGTGCTTGCATAAGCCAGTTATTTTTCAATAGTCTGGGAGTGTCCTGGCATATGCAAGTACCAAAGGGATTTGTTCTCAACCTATAAGGAAAATTGCCAAATTTAGTTCAGAGTCCCAGCCATAAAATGATACTGAAGAGAGCCTACCTGATTACCTGCCTTCCAATTTGACTCCCAATACAAGGTAGAAAAATTACCTTGGTACTATTCAATATTGTTGCTCTGGTTGTAATAAACCTTGTCTAATAGTTCATTACACGTAGAAAACAAAGCATATTCTAACACAACAGTTTCTGAATTTTTTTTTGTCAACTTCATAGATTCCTAACAACTAGAGGATTGTTCCTTAAATTGGATTTTTATTCCAGTGGCACAGTTTCCTCCTCTGAAAGTAGGACAGAATCATCCCATAAGCAGCAGTAGTTGTTTCCCTGCTTAACCCAAGCATGATAGGTGGATCTTCAAGCAAGCCAATAAATGCCACCTTCCTACTTAATGAGGTTCTGGCCTTGGGACAGTTGCCCTGTAAATGGCCTGGCAGAAAGCAGGCACTTTGCACATGTTTGCTGAATGTAAAGGAGAAAAGTGGAGACAGAGAAAATGTGAGCATGGAACTGCCTCTTAGCCCTTGCAGTTAAAGTGCTGAGATTTCTGGCAAAGCGGTTAGGTGATGTTGACAGGAAGAATAGGTAAGAAGTAAATCCAAAACAGTGAAATTAGCAAATGACCACATTAATGAAAACAAGAATATGAAGGAAGCAGTAGGTAAACTCAACAACACTGCGCTGTTGGAAAATGATTTTTATAAGAAAATGGCCCTTTGCAATGTAATGTTTCTGAGTAGACTTTAGAGATATGTGTTGCATAAACTGTACTTGCTTCTAGATTATAACATGTAGAAAAGCCTTAAGATGCTATTCAATTTATTCCTTAGGTATCACATATGTAACTATAAAAGCTAAGCTGTGCTTCTCTCTCTCTCTCTCCCTCTCTCTCTCTCTCTCTCTCTCACACACACACACACACACACACACACACACACAGATAAAATCTAGAATCTGCCTCTTGGTATGAGAAACACTGAATCAAATGATACAAAAACTCGTACGTGCTGTTCTCACATTGGTATAATTGGTTATTTTCCTTGGTGAGATTTTGGAATGAATCTTTCACAACCGTGTGTGCATAGTTGTCATTTGTCCTCTCTCCTCAGGTGCAAAGAAGGCTACCAGGGAGTCCGTTGTGATCAGTTTCTGCCAAAAACTGACTCCATCTTATCGGATCCAAGTAAGCCAAGCATTTTTCTCCTCTCTAATGCGATATACAAGTCACTCTTCCTGGAGCCTTAGTTGCTAACCACTAAAGGCTGTATTTCACTGAGTTTTTGTACCTCTGAAAGCTGCCAAGGACAGAGGTGGTGGCAAATGTTCATATTCAAAGCACAGCTTGCAGCTGACTTGGTCAAAGTCTTCTGCGGAGTGGGGTTTGGCCTCCCGATTTAAGGCCACCATGGAACTTCTTGTGAGAACCAACTCCTGGCAAATCCTGCTGCCTGGCTCTCAGGCTTTCCCCTAGTATCACTCCATTTCAAAAGTCAGGCTGCAGAAAAATTTAAAGAGCTCATTATTTACCCAAACGAATGTTATTAAACCTGCGCTATCATACTGCTTCTCATCCGTTGGTAGTTTTTGATAATAGTAAACCTATTAACATTTAGTGAAGTAAAATATGCAGATAAAATTGCATAAGAAGTTTTCAAACAAACTGAAAACTCCATCCTCAGCAGCACTAGTTGCATATCAGTGATTACTGTAGTAACTGTGAATTGCTTTTCCTTCCTTCATTCAAGAGAACAATCTGCCGCTAGAAAATAAGAGCAGCCGTTAGCTTCTCTTTGTGTACGGATTCATAAGTAACTTCCTGTAGTCAAGTGCACAGTTCTGTTTAAATGTGTAATTTTTCCATTATCTGTAAATTGTTTTCTTTCAGTGCCTATTATAGTTGAATCATGGCTTTTAAAACACAGTGGGTGTATATTTATTGGATCTGTAGTTTAGTTCAGTAAGGACAATGACAGGCATTTCCAAACCCTAAAGGCAGCATTATGGTTTTTTTTGAATATTGAATTTGTGTAACACAACTTTAGCGAAATATTTTGTATTGGCCACAGGCAGGTCCCGCTGCCTATTAGTGTGGACTATGCCATTTTTAGCATCTTTTTGAAATGTGTATTTTCAGTTTTCCCCCTGAATCTCTAGGCACATTTCGTAAGGTAAATGTAAAGTTTCTTGAACAGGAAGAGCTTTCTTTCATTTAAATGTGTTTTATCTTTAATATGTATCCATTTTCCTATGAATGAATCGATTTTCTCGTTCTTTATGGCTGAGTAAGATATACTCCTAAGTGAAATAAATACTTCACACATGTGTAAATACCGAATAGTTTCCCTGGTGTGAATAATCTGCAATAAAACATAAGATCCTAATGAGATTACTGTCATTTAGAAATGAGAAGAAAGGAGCTAAAGGTGTAGGGAAGGTGGGATGGGTAGGGGAAGGGTAATAAGGGAAAAGGAAAAAATGTGATATAATGAAAAGATGAAAATAAAGTGTTTGTAGATGGGGAGGGGAGGAGGGAGTGAAGGGAGGGCAGGGACAAGGGGAAAAAATGAGAATCAAGACCTGTCATGTAGAGGTACAAGATCCCAATAATGAATGTAACTGTACTGTATCCCTAAAATGTACCAATACACTCAATTAAGGCTGAAAAAAAATAAAAATAAAATAAATGTGTTTTATCTCAGCAAGAAAACTCACCAGGCAGTCATTAACTATGCTTTCCTTTGTGCAGTTAGCCCTCCCTGTGAAAAGTGAAGTTTGCTGAAAATCTAGCAAGTAATCCAAACTGGGTGTCTATTGCCCCCTGACCAGAGAGGATGGTGTTGGTGGATGTTTTGGTATCTTGTGGTGTTGACTGCTTGTTAAGCTGGTGTCTAAAAGGCTCTTCATGGTGGAGTTGTATTCACATAATTGGGACACTATGAAGCTTGTATAAAAGGATAGATTGCGTGGTCTATTTCTTCCTTATTTATCTTTTTGGGTTTTTAAAAATTTTTCCCTAATATATTCTTCATTCTTTTCTTTGCTCCCTTTCCTTCTAACCTTTCCATCTTCCTTTTCTTCACTGATTTTTTTCTCTCCTCCATTTATCTCCCTCCCTGTTATTTCAAATGCAACTGAGAAATGTCTACCAAATACAAGATAACAGGCAAGACCTTGCCTATGATACAAAATGTTTAAAATAAATTAATGTCTTCCTTTAAACAATGTAGTCAAAATTTGCTTTCCGATTGGATATCCTAGTCATTGTTTCAAAAATTGAGGGTGAGATCTACTCTAAAGACTGTGTGTTCCTCATTGAAAAATAATCCCACAACCAGAGTTACTGTCCCTGAAGACCTACATCAATAAAATTATTTAGTGCAGCAACACTTATATTGATGAAAACATGGACAAATTCTAAAGTGACAACAGAATTATCTTTAAGTAAAGATCATATAGCATATCTTGTCTATTGTATCAAATTAACATTAAAAAGGACAGCGGTATGAAATGTTTTCATTAAGTGCAACCAGAAAATAGAAAATTATGTTTATGTAAGTTTTGAAGAAAACATTCTTTAGTCCAAAGGTAGAAAAGAAATATGCTAAAGTACCCAAAATGAGCCCTTAGTATTTAGGTTGCGAAACTATATAAAATTATTTTCCTTTTATTTACGTTTTCTATAAAATGGTGTATTATTTACTTACTATATGAGTAATAAGGCCAGAATTCCTTGAAATGTAAAAGTGAGATAAGCACCGAGAATCCAAGCCACTGAGATAGTTTAAATGGAAAAAAGCCATTAATGCATTTGTTTATTTATGTACTCTTTGGTACATTCCTCTGCTATTTTCTGAGCAACTACCAAAGGCCATCTAATTCTTAAGATTCTGTTAATACAAAGACATGCAAACAGAAGTCAGGCTCTAAGGATCCTACAGACTAGTGAGGCAGGATCACATGTCAGTACATACACAAACAGATGAATTTGGTATCACATTTACCCCTTTGTGAAAGTGGCAGATTTCTTCAGCTCCCAAGTCTCATGTTTTTCATCTGAGAATGTAATAGAACCACAGGCATCTCTCACAGAGACTGAAAAAGACTCAAAGGCAGATAAGTGTTAGTCCACCTCCCTCGTTCAGCTTTGCAATCATTGCTAACACGTGTTCACATGTTGCATGTGCCAGGGACTGTGCCGAAGGGCTTCCCTTCGATTCGTACATTAAATCTTCACAATCGCAAGCGACCAGGGAGTTGACCAGGAATTGCCCACATTTTATAGATGAGGAAATTAGACCTCAGAGATGCTAAATAAACTTGCTCAAGGTCGCTCAGCTATTTAAGGCTGGAGTCTCAGGCCTGAGCGCCCCACTGCAGGGCTCTCTTCTTGCTCTCCTGAAACCCATCCTTCTCTGGTTGTTTCCAACAGGACATTTATCACTCTAAATTTCATTGACGGAAACTCAGTGACCTGCGGCAAACATCCTTCTAAGGAACAATATTTGCACAATTTTCATATCTTAATGCAGCAACTTGAGCTCCCATAGGGAGTTAAATCCCTAATGAAATTTCCTTGTCAAAATTCTTGCTGAAGAATTGTTTAATTTGCTGCTCATGATATTTTTGGAATGATTTTATGCTCAGGAAATAAGCTTCCCTCCAATGCTTTCTTCTATTTTTTCTCCTTTGCTCCCTCTTCTTTCCATCTCTTGTTCATTCCTTGTTCCCCCTTTCCTCAGTGATGGTTCCTACTTACTGAATTTCCAGTACAAAGGGATTAGGAGCCTCTGCCCTTGTTTCTACCCCAGGCGATGCAGAGTTGGTCAGAAACTGCACCTGTGGCATTAAATTTTTAAATGTAAAGTAGAGTCTCATATTACATGTGCTTGAGGAAATGATACAAAGGCATCTCTCTGATTAGCCTCAGTGACTGCTACTGACAAGTGTTTTTACAGTGAGCCCTGTATGGTTGCTGAGTTATGGTCTTGCAAAGAGACCTTCTTTACCTCCTCCCAAAAATCCTTTAAAATTGTTTGTCCTGAAGCATATGGCTTATAAAGTACTCGGATTTCAGTTTTTGAAGAGAGTATCTAATGCACAACTGTCAGGTATGGATTCAGTGCACTACAAGCCACAATCAGATCACAGTGTTAGACAGTAAGCAAGGATTCAGGTGCAAATTAGGAAAGTAGTACAAGGGACAGACTTTGATAAGGATAAAGAGAATGTGACCTTCCACTGAAGAGCCAATAGTTTCTGAGCAGAATCAGAGAATGGGATGGGATGGACAAGGTGCCCTTCAGAAGTGAGGGTCCACCTCCCTTTACATAGTCAGCAAAGATTTCAGACCTCTGTGCCTTTCTCTGTCACCCTTCAATGTCCAGTGATACCATGGCGGCAACAGCAAGTCTGCAAGCTAAAGCTTTGCAACACAGCTGATACATCTTAAACTCTTGGAGTCATCTAACTTCTGCAGAAGGACAGAAGACAACTTCCACCACCAATCCATGCATGCTTATTTAATGTACATTCACCCTAGGGTTTCTTTGGATCTTAGAATCCATGCTGTGTTCTTAAAGCACCCTGGAAGACGCAAGGAATCTGGTCTGCATATGGTTTAGAGGAAAACTAGTGAAAAAGGTCATATGTGATCACATCACCGTCATCACCCCAAATTGGCCTAGTTTGTATCAACTTCCTAGAAATAATCACTTCAGGAGTCCAACAATAAATATTCCATGTGCACCTCTTCTGATTGGTCTGCGGGGACAACAGACTCATAGGGCTGGGGGAAGTTCTATCTTCTTCCTCCTGAGTGTCTTTAGTTGCACTGTTGTGCTGCCCCGATGTCCTGAATTGACTCAAAACACTTACCTTTCACGGTCAATTTGACTTGAGGAAGAACCAGAAGCCAAACTGCCAGATCTACTAAATAAGGTAGATAAGAGCGCACTGTAATGTTTTTAGGCATCTGCCTTTCTGTTGGCTGGCACTCAGAAGCAGCATTCACCATACTTTCAGTTATGCCCTTTAAAGACAAGAAAAAAGACTTAGAGAACTGCTTCAGTAAAGGGGCAAGAATGGTAGGATATGTGTGTTTGAAGTACAATTAGTATTTTGAGGGTAATTAATGGCAATTTGTCTTTCAATGTAAGTTTTTTTTTCATTTAAACATTCATCATA